ACCTACTCTTGGGTTTTTGGGCTTGCATCGTTTATGCCTCAGATTGGGCCAAATCCCTGGGCTTATCAGTTGTTGGTCCTTAATGGGCCTTCAGAAGTTAGAAATTGGTCTAAGGATATATTAGGCTTAAGAGAAGGCCCATTCGAGGAAGTTGGGCCCAATTTAGAAAATTGGGCCATTTGTGGTCCTGTAGTGGGCTTGGGTAAATTTGATGGGATTGGGCCTCTTATGTCATGGAATTGGGCCTAGGACATGGACCAAAGCAGATTAGGGGTAAAATTTTCATTTTACCCTAAGAAGGATTATTGGATTATTAATTAAGCGATACGAGATGATTATAGCTGGGAGTTGCGGGAGCAACCGTTAGAGATTCCTTACCGTGAGATTTAGCAGTCAGCTTTGCGAGGTGAGCTTTCCTCCAGTAAGAATGGGTCGAAGGCGCCAATGTTGGCCCATTTATGTATGCTACTATGTTTCAGACTTATGTCTGATGCTGGGGTTAGCCCGATGTAGGTTATATGTTTCCGGACTTTGGTTCGATGCTAGGGAAAACCCGAGGAATGTTTTTATACTTTATGTCCTCATGATTCTTGCATGTGTTTGTTTATGTGTTCCGGGATTCAATTCGATGTCGGGGCAAGCCCGAGGAAGGTTTAGCTTATAAGTTATGTTTATATGTTTCGTACATTGGTCCAATGTCGAGGGAAGCCCAAGGCATGTTTATATGATATGTTTATATGTTCCGGGCTTCGGTTCGATGTCGGGGTAAGCCAGAGGAATGTTTATATGTTTATGTTATGTGTTATGTTATATGCTTCTTGATATGCTATATGTATACCAGATTTCGGTCGGATGTTGGGAGGGTGCCGATGTCGAACTTCGGTTCGATGTCGGGCGGGGCCCGATGTAGTGGGCAAGGCCCAATTTATGTTTTTATGTGTTTATGTGATTATGTGATTATGTGTATGGTATGTGGTAGTTTGGGGAGACTCACTAAGCTTCGTGTTACAGGTATCAATTTTGGTTTTAGGTTTTTCCACTAGTGAGGGGAAAAGCTCGGGATGAATGCATAGCACACACCACAATATTCAACCTCGGATGATTTACTCTCATGTTTTGACATATGATTTTGATACATTGACAGATGTTATGATATTTTTTAGATACACAAATTATGATTTTTATATAATGAATGACAATTATGGTTTTTAATAATGATTTAAAATGAAATTTTTGGACTGTATATTTAGGATGTTTCATCTCATGATAAAGTTCCAAATTATAGAGAGTGATTGATTCTAGGAAACATATAAATTTCCAAATTATAGAGAGTGAATTGAAATCCCACTGATTTCAAATAATAGAGAGAGAAGTTTGGAGACTACTGAATGATCAGATGGGATCTATGGGTTTCGATGCTATGATGGTAGCAAAGCCATTCATTCTTTGTCCTTCTTTGGGTTTAGACAAACTAGGAAAATCTGAACGTTATCCCATATTTTTATGAATTTTTAAAATGCATAGGTCGTTTTTGGGTTGATATATGGTTTCTAATGTACTAGGTTTCTACAGCGAATCTTGAGATCATCCTTCAATCTATAAAATTTTCAACCATTGTAGTCTATCAAACTCCTTGCTCAAGGTTAGTTATGCACCGACCCGACCATAAATAACATAGGCATACATTCTATGTTTATTTATGGTATGGATTATGTACGACACTAAACTTAATTGAGGCATTTAACCTAAAGGGTTGAGTTGGTAGTTTTCGTTGGAGGCATGTTAGAAGTTTATTAATTGTTCTCATTGCGCATCAGAGTATATATAAATCTTATATATTATTGTTGGTCGAGCTTGAAGTATTAGTAAACTTTGTTTTGTAATCCAAGTACAAATGAGGGCCAGACAGGAAACGTCAGATGGCAGGACCAATTTAGCAATTAAGTCATTCTTAAATCCAGCAACCCTATGCGGCCCTTCAAACCAGATTCCCCGTACCGTAACTAGCCATGAATTAGTGTAATTAATATTAATAATACTTTTATTTAGAAGCTAGTTGCTATAGTTTTATTCATGTTTCGCGGATACGAGTTCTCTATAGCCAATTTAGCTCAGATACCAATATCTCACACCCCCGGTTGAAGCGGCGGAACATGCCGGACTGTGCGACTAAGTTCATGGATCACAGGTAAACTGAATATATAGTACAAGTACAACAATAAACAAAATAACATTTACATTCCATCTTGATGTTTGAATATAGAGTTTTTACAAATAATCATAATACATGAATTGCCTTAGCTAATAGTCATATAATACAACAGCAAGTAAACTAAGTCACTTGTAATCCAATCCATCTTGTATGTCTGTTTAGTAATTTCCTAAGAATACATGTAATTTTGAGGGTCAACACAAGGTTGGTGAGTGTTACAGGTTTTCTGCTAATAGCAGTAATACTTTTAAAAAGTGTAAAAAGTATTATCTTTGTATGAATAACAATATTAGGAACAGTATTTTCCGTGCATCTTTAAAAGCCAAAGTGTATCTTTGTATAAGTAAATTCATACTTAAAAATCATATCTATAAAGAAGCTTTGAATATACTTGAAAACCAAACTATATTATTAAATAAGTAATTCCATACTTAAAATAGTTTTCAAAGCAACCAAGCCCATGTTTGTTGTGTGTGTGTGAGAGAGAGAGATAGATAGATAGATAGATAGATAGAGAGAGGGAGACAGAGATGGAGAGAGAGAGAGAGAGATTCTAGTTAATGCTTATAGTGAGTCCTATAACCGAGCTATGTGACTTGATTGTACCCGACTACAACGCTTCATTAGACGTTGTAGTAAAAATTATAGACACCTATGACCTGCTTTGATTGATAAGTCAAGGTTGTAGCTAGCAACCGTAGATGGGGATGTCAACCCTGTATAGATCTATACATATGTATCTTGCTCCGAAGATTAAAGGTTATAGTAGTGCGGGTATGCTAAGTGGTTAGGCTTAGCTAATGAATAACATAGCGTCTCACTAAAAAGCCCTTAACTAAAAAGTTTGTGAATAACTCTCAACCCTAATTTAAATGTGATTAAGTCACTAGGAATAATAAATATCATTGTATAAAGTTTATAAAAGCCGAGTATGCTTGACATGTATGTAAAAGTGTAATGTCTTGCTTTTATTAAGATCTAAGCCCGTAACTATAATAGGTATGTACTTGACCCGATTGTAGCATGGTCCTTTTGGGTTACCTTCACCATAGCAACTTGACTGGATGAATTATGGAGAGATAGGTTAATTTTGATTTATTAATATGTTATAAGAATAATATATTAGTTGAGAAATCATATTATTTAATTAATGTTGGTCAATAATTAATTTGGAATTAATTTAGTGAGCAAACGAGATTAATTAAATTAGGGGGCTGATATTGTAATTATAAGATAATTGCAAGATGGGTTGTGGACTCCCAATAGAAGGGATGTACGAATTCTATGGAAGCCCATAGAAGAATTCGCCCATAAGGGGCCTTCTGGAAGGATCCACTGGACTGCTTAAGTCTTAAGCAATCAGATTAGGGTTTTTACTGAAACCTTAGCAGCTCAACTATATAAAGACCCTATGAGATTCCTAATTTCGGTCACCGAAACCTAAGAAGGATAGCCAACCGATTTTGTGATCCCTATCCTCTCTCTTATATTCCTCCAATTTGCTCTTAGTGTTTGTGATCTATTAGAGGTATCACATTTGAGACACTATGCTCTCAAAGGTTTAAGATCTTCAAGCTACAATCATAAGGTATTCTTCTAACTTAGTTTCATGTCAAAATCGAAAATTGTATTTTAGTTTAGGGTTCATGCTTTGGATAATTTTTATTGCATGTATAACTTTAGAAAAATTAGATCCAAAGCATTAGGGTTGCGTGTGCACCATGATTAATGTAATGTTCATAACCCATCACATATGTACATGTATAATCTTTATACATTTAAACATATAAATATAAATTATTAGTAATAACTTGAATCCTTGAAATACTACAAAGTGTTATGACATGCTTGTCATAATATGCAATATCACATAAAAATCATATAATTATGTATCATGTAGTATTTGTTGTGTAAACTAGTTATTTTACAATAAAATAACCATAATACGTATGCGAAAAGTTTATACTAGTTTATTCGTAACAATATGTTAAATTGTTAAATAATAATATTTTGATAAACTAGATTTATTGTATTTTCGCATAAAAGGAAATTGATTTGTATAAACAAAATAATTAGGCACATATATTCCCCCCGAAATAATTATAATATTAAAAAGGATCGTAAGCACTTGCTTTCATAGCATGAAACCGACTCATGGTCTGAGACTTGTCGTGAAAGTTGTTGTGTGACATTTCTTGCTCTTAAAACGAACCACTGGTTCTATTCATATTATCTAATAAACCAAACGGTAATTTTGGTATCATTTATTAAGTATAGGGTGGTCTTTGTTAAAATAAATCAACGCAAGGGATTGATTTTTGTTAAAATCATCCCCAAGGACTAATATGGTAATCCATTTCCGAAACAGGGGCTGAAGTGTATATTTTAAACCCAAGTATGAAAATGGGCTTAATTTTGATGACGTTTTTCAATGGAGGGGCATTGTTGTTTAATGGTTCAAACTTACACTAATTTAGGGCTTTATTTACACGTCTTTGATTTAATCGGGCAAAAGGAAAAGAAACGACGAAAGCAGACGAACGATGGGAGGGGAAAAGGCACGAAGGCAACCACTGATGGTCGATCTATCGTGAGGAGGAGGAGTAATCCTAATTTCCGGCGACTCCGTTATGAATTTCTGCCCGTCGTCGGTCGCAAGGAGGACCAATGGAGAAGCAATGACTGAATGTGGCGAGAGGGAAGTTCGCAGATGCGCAGTCCGCTATTCGGGATCTCGTGACCAATCGCGATCGTCTCCTGTGTTTGAAAAGGCTGCAGAGATGGAGGGATGACGGAAGGCAGCGAGGCTTCTTCCTCTGATCCGACTGCGGGATGTGAAGGGGGAAAAGAAACGGGTCCGCCGGGAGCGATGCGAGCAGCAGTTGCGACGAGTCTAGATTTTTGGTGGGTTTGCTCGACGGAAGAAGAAGCGGAGGGTGCGAGGGGTTCGATCAGTGGGAAGGGAGGGTTCCGGTGTGGCCGAAGAGAAGGAAAAAGGAGAAATGGCTTCGGTCTCGGTGTATATCGACGAGCAATAGGGAGAGGGACAGCCTCCCTCCGGCGATTTGCAGGTAATTAAATGGGGCTGCTCCGGCAGCTCCCCTGTTTTTCTCTTCTCCTTATATATATATATATATATATATATATATATATATATATATATATATATATATATATATATATATATATATATATATATATTGTTGGCTGATACCGATGTATGAACTGGGATACATGTTTCGGGTTTATGTTTAACAGGGAAATCGATGGGTGTTTGTTCTTGTGTTCTTGACTGGAACTGGTTCAGAATGAAAGGAAACATGGAGGTTTTTGGGTTTGATTCATTTGACAGTCCCGAGGAAGAGTTCAGGTGAAACTTTGAATGGTTTTTGGGTTTAATCTTATAGGCCGAGTTCTTATGATTTCATTGTGTAGTCAGATGAGAGTTTTTAAGTGTACACGGAATGGTTTCTTGTGCCTTTGTATCTGTTAAATCTTTGAGTGTGCATTTAGGCTGTGGATTTTTTTATTGACAGGAATTAAAGAATGAGAAACAATGTGAGGGGGTGCTGACAGCTTCGGCTAAAACAAATGTGTGGTTGGTTATCTTTGTGTATGGATGTGTATAAAAAATGTTTATTTTGTGTGTAAAATTGTATTAGCTCTCTACGTTTAATAATTGTCATTTACTTTAACTAGGTTATAATCCGTGGACACCACGGATGAGAAGTTAAAAAAAACAGTTAAATTATGACTTAATTATTCAGCAATTTAATGAAAATTTGAATAATTATGAATGCATAGTTGGTAGATTACCCAAATGGAGGTTTATATTTTGAGATATGTTTGAAAATTATCATTTTGTGGAATGCAATATAAATTTAAAAATAAAAATAAAAATAAAAAAAAATAATAAAAAAAAAACCACAAACATATATTGATTGAATAATAAAATTGTACAAAGGTTTTATAAATTCCTAAAAACTTCTTTATACACAACATTTGATGTTTTATTTGTAAGTTTACCATCCTTATCTGAAATTAACAATTTTAATCTCTCTCTACTTTGAACTCTGTATAAAGCAACATGCAATTGGCCATGTGTAAAAACAGGATCTTTGAGAAATAATCCAACATTCGATAAAGACTGTCCTTGGCTCTTATTAATTGTCATTGCAAAACATTCAGCCAATGGAAATTGTCTTCTTTGGAAATTGAACGGGATCTTATTTTCGGAAGGAGTTAAAGATATTGTTGGAATAAAAGTCCGGTTTCTAGTATTACTTCCAGATATGATAACCGCCTCAATAACATGTTTGCCCAAAGATATAACCTGTAGTCTAGTGCCATTGCATAAGCCATTTATTTGATCAATGTTTCTCAATAACATAACCGGAACACCGATTTTTAAAATGAGTTTATGGTTTGGCAAACCTGATACTTTTACACCATTTAAAACATCAGGTGAGTATAAATTTGCATCAAACTGATCATTAACAAACTCGGATTGGCAGAGGCTATCTGAACTTAAATATTCCTTTTGCTCTCCTTGAAACAATTTTAGCAAACGATCATTTATTTATTTGACAACTTCATTCTTGGGAGCAAGTATTGTTTTTTCTTGAAAATAACCCGCAATGTTGAAGTTTTCAAGAATCGAAGGATATACAAACTTGATTAATGAACCTATAGGATCACAAGGATCATTAATAAGAATATCTTTTGGAATTTCAACAATCGCTTCACCATCATTCGGACCACCAAGATTACCTTCTCTTATGTCCAAAAGCCAATTTGAAAAATCCCTTATTTCTTCCGTAGCAGATGGATCGCTTCCAACAATCAATCTCATGTTTTTTTTGTTAATTTATGGACTTTGCATTGTTGCCACAAATGAGAAGAACTCAAAGAAGCATTAGCAATGTTTTGTCTACTACCACCTGGAACAATAGGTAGAATTTGTCTGAAATCACCTCCAAAAACAATAACTTTCCCTCCAAATGAAATATTTGAGTTCATTGGATTGAAACACTTTAATATATCCTTCAAAGTTCGATCTAAAGCTTCAAATGCATGCTTGTGTACCATGGGTGCTTCATCCCAAATGATCAATAAGGTTTTTCTTACTAAACTTGCAAGATCACTATCTCGATCTATTCTACAAACAGACACTTCGTTAAGACTTAGTGGAATTATAAACCTAGAGTGTGATGTCCTCCCTCCAGTCAATAATAATGAAGCGATCACACTTGATGCAACATTTAAAACAATCTCACCTTGGGCTCTAATAGCTACAAAAATTGTCTTCCAAAGAAATGTTTTCCCAAACAATCTCTGGTTTAGACAAACTATTGGACAATAACATCGTAGCAAATAAGAATCGTAGATAAAAATCAGATCCAGAAAGACTTGCTTCCTTAATTGCATCGATGTATTCTTTGTCATCATACAAAAGGCCTATATTATAGCATGCATCTTTGAAAGTAGGTCTGTCAAATCGGGCCGTCGTATCGTGTTTTTGTCTGACACGACACGACACGACAATATTTTTTGTAACACGAACACGACACGACACGATGTCGTATTTTTTTTCACTAACACGAAAACGATCCAATTAAAAAACAACAACACGACACGACATGAAAAAGATAATATTATATAACTGTTATTTTATTTAATTCATATTTAATCATATATAAGACGATAAAAACGACAAACACGAAAAACACGACAAACACATGATCAATCGTGTCAATTCCGTGTGGATTTGTAAACATGAACACGACACGACACGACATAATGTTTTTATACTTGACACGAACACGACATGAAAACGAATTCGAATTTTGATTTCGTCCCAATTTCGTTTCGTGTCGTGTATTTTTGTCGTGCCGTGTCATAAATTAACACCCCTATTTGAAAGTAGAACATATTTCACCATTGACTGTGCGAATTTCTTCAAATGATCTTGGACCTTTAACTTTATTTAAAAGAATCCTTAAGAAATATGCTTCACCGAGCTTAGGTGAAACTGAATAAATTCTACCAATCGCATATCCAATGTCCCTTGGCTTCCAAATAAGAAGATTAGATTTCCAAACAAATTTTGTAGGAAACTCAACATATGTAAGTTTCCTAGCTTCTTGGTTAATTTCATTACACTTCATCCAACCGATGAACATTGAAGAACCAATTGAAGTTGAAACAAGTTGAAACACAATTGAATTGTGTTTGGTTACACATTGAATTCTTGCAAACATAAGAAATTTGCTATTTTCAAGCACTGGTAAACCTCATTTCAAAACCCTTTTCAAACTTCTTCTAAACATTTTTCAAACTCTTATACTTTTAAACCATATTCCTTTATGTATTAGAGTATAAATATGCTTTAATGGACTTAAGACTATTGTTAATAACCTTGACTCATGTTCCTTGTTTGGTTGTGGGCTTAGGGTAGGATACACTAGTCCGATTGTCGATTAACTCATAATTATACATCCTAAATACATATAAGAATATTAAATCTTACCTTTAAAGTTAAACTTCACTCAATTGTACAAGTTGAGTAATTGCGTCTTTTCTACACGTCATTTACAAAACAAACGTGGTAGTAAAATATAATAGGTATAGTTTAAAGAACATATACATATACATATACAAGTACAAGAAGAATACTATACATATACAAGTACAAGAAGAACATATACATATACAAGAACAGGAAGGAACATAAACATATACATATACATTTATAAGAGAACAGAAAGAACATACATATTATAACAAGTACATGATAACTAGAATGTGAGATACTACTTCATTGTACAACAATAGATTTGTTGTATCACATTTTGTAACTAGAGTCTCTTAGAGGGAGAGCGGGTATAGTGTGTATAGATCTATATGGTACAAACAATGTCACACCCCGACTGTTAGCTACAATCCCAGCCGGCAAGGCGAAGGGGTGACAAATGTCACATTGTTTCAATGCCAGAAGGTCGTCGTGTTTTCAGCAGTCAATCAACATGGTTACAACCTTATCACATTTTAGCTTAATTTATCTAATTGGTTATAAGGTAACTAGTGCTTCAGTAGTTATTTTATATAATATTACTACACACTTTCATTTTCCCATTACATTCATATAGTAATATTATCACATAAAAGTTAATGCAATCTATTTTCTAGTAAAGATAGTGATAAACTTGGGAAAACATACATTTTTTTACAAACAAACAAACATACAAAACAGTCGGGTCTTGGTAGAAGACTATTTTCCATAATAGTAGAAAATATAGGATTTTCTAGGAAGTTTACTAATAGTTTTCATGAAACACTTACTAACATTTTTCTTCAAACTGATACCAACATTTGACACTAAGATACTTATGAACTCACCAATTTAAATGCTGATTTGCTCTTTCAAAATAACTTGTATCCTCAGGTCACCAGTAGATAGGTACAGATGGCCAGGTTTTGTCATCTTATTCTTTTTATATACATTCATTTGGTGTCATTTAAACTTTACTAAGAACACATGTATTAACTATTATTATTAATGCAATTGCTCTTGTTGCTTGATTTACTATTATGCATTGTTATAATATTGTACATGACATCCTCCCCCCTCGCAAACATTTCCGCGTTTCCGATTTTGGTATGTGACAGCAGCAGAACCACCTTTGGTTCCACTTGATGAGGATCCATCAATAAACTTTCCCTTGCGGCTCTTGGAAGTAGCCTTCATCTTCTTCCCCTTCCCTTGTCAAATTGCCAGAACAAGGGCATTAGCAGTAGGAGTAGATAGAACATTTTTTTCCGTTGAGGCCACTTTCAAAAGTCCTCAAAATGCCTTGAAGCTTGCTCAGAGTGACCTCCTCCTTGTTCATATGATAAGTCATACGAAACTGATTATAATAGGGAGGTAGAGAGTGTAGAATGATATATATGGCCAACTCTTCATCGAAGTTAACATTTACCTTCATCAGGCGGTCCACTAACCTTTGCATTTTCTACAAGTGGGTCGTGATGGGTTCACCATCCTTCATCTTTGTTGTAATCATGGAGAAGATGATTTCATACTTCTCTTGTCGAGCACTCTGATGGTATCTTTCCATCAGGTCTTGGTGCATCTCAAAAGGGTAGAAATCCTCATAGGACTTTTGGAGTTCATTTGACATAGTCACAAGGATGATATAGACTACCTTGGTAGCATCTTTCTCATGTGCCCTAAACTCAACAATCTCCTGAGGAGTAGCAGAAGTCTCATCGATTTCCTTTACCGCCTTGTCGAGGATATATTCATTGTCCTCATAGCGAGTGACCATCCTGATGTTCCTAATCCATTCATTGAAGTTAGTACCATCAAAGATGA